CTGTAGAAAATGCCAGGTCTTCTTTCTTCAGCAACCTCATATGTCAAAATAAGAACAATCCCAAGGTTTTGTTTGATACCATCTCCAGCATCGTGTATTCTCCTCCGCAGCAGGCTCAGCTATCTTCAGCTGATGACTGTAACAGATTTCTCCACTTTTTTGAAAACAAGGTGCTGAATCTGAGATCCAGCATTCCACCAGCCCTCGCCCCCTCAGGATGGGAGGCCCCCCAGTGCTCCGAGTCTTTCACCTCCTCCCCAATTACACTAAATGACTTAACCTCAGTAATCAGTCAGATGAAACTCTCATCATGCTCATCAGACATCTTAACTCCCTCTGTTTTAGTCGGGTCCCTTGCCTCTATCAGTCCATCTCTGTTGACTATAATCAACAGCTCACTGAGCCAAGGCTGTGTTCCATCTTACTTTAAAAATGCAGTAGTGACTCCTCTCTTAAAGAAACCCAACCTTGACGCCAGCTCCACCAGTAACTTTAGGCCCATTTCTAAGCTACCTTTCATCAGCAAAGTACTTGAGAAGGCTGTTGAAACCCAACTCAGATCCTGGTTTTCTAAGTCAAAGATCTCTGACCCCTTCCAATCTGGCTTTCTGAAGCAGCACTCAACTGAGACTGCTCTAGTAAGGGTGCATAATGACCTCCTGATGGCTGCTGATGCAGGGAAATGCTCTGTCATGGTCCTGCTTGACCTCAGTGCAGCTTTTGACACTGTAGACCACAACGTTCTACTAAACAGGTTAAAGGCCCTGGCTGGGATTTCAGGTTCTGCTCTAGACTGGCTCTCTTCCTATCTCACTAACAGAACATTCACAGTGAAGTCAGAAACCTTCTCCTCAGACACTGCCTCTCTAACATGCGGGGTCCCACAAGGTTCAGTTCTAGGGCCTCTACTATTTGCATTCTATATTCTTCCCCTAGCTGGCATCATTCAGTCTTTCCCAGACATCTCCTACCACATCTACGCTGATGATATTCAGCTCTATATGTCCTTTATGCCACACCAGTTGGACAGGCTGGCCACACTTGTACTCTGCCTGACCCAGATCAGTAACTGGCTGTCCAGCAACTTTCTTGTCCTAAATGCTAACAAGACAGAGACCCTGATCGCTGCAGCCCCGGATCTTCAACCAAAAATCGAGCAAGAAATTGCCTCTTTTTGCCCATCAGCCAAGGCCAACAATAGAAACCTGGGAGTTATTTTTGATCCAGCTTTAAGTTTAGACTCACACGTCAAAACCATCTCCCGCTCTTGTTTCTTTCAACTGAGAAACATTTCAAAAGTCCGTAAACTGGTTTCTACTGCAGATCTGGAAAAAATCATCCATGCCTTTGTGTCATCACGCTTAGACTACTGTAACGCTCTTTTTACTGGTCTCAGCAAAACCACCCTCTCACACCTTCAAGCCATCCAAAATGCAGCAGCCAGACTCCTAACCAAATCCAGCAGACGAGCTCACATCTCTCCAGTTTTACAGTCCCTCCACTGGCTCCCGGTAGAATATAGAATACAGTTTAAAGTTTTAGTCCTGACCTATAGAGCTCTTAACAACCAGGCTCCAAGCTACCTATCTGAGCTTTTATCCCCACACACCACCTCTCGGAACCTTAGATCCACATCTGAAAACCTCCTGGCTGTTCCTCGAACCAGACTGAAAACCAAAGGGGACAGGGCCTTTCAGACTATTGCACCCAGACTTTGGAACAGTCTACCTTCAAATCTCAGTCTCTCTAACACTGTAGAGGTCTTTAAAAATCATCTAAAAACTCACCTTTTCATCCAGGCGTTCCCTCCCTAAATGTTTCAGATTGATGGCTTTGTTCGGGTTCACACCTTCACTTTGTTTATACTCATGATTTTATTTTCTACGTTTAACACTGCTATTGTTTTTCTGATGTTTGTATTGGTTAGAGGTATTTGCCCTGATCTTTATCATGTTGTACAGCGCTTTGTGATTTATATCTGTGAAAGGCGCTTTATAAATAAACTTTTACTTACTTACTTACTTACTTACCTCACTGATGTGGCCGGCGAGCAGCGTGCACTCCGCTGATTTTGCGGTCAGTAGATCTTTTAGAACTGCAGTTCAAAGGTAACTTATAAGGTGAATATATATGAAGCCAGGTAGCAGTTTTTCTTTAGGATTGAGAGGAGATGCAGGAAGATAATAAACAGACAGGACAGAAAAATAGTCAAATAAAAACACGTTAGTTTTTGTACCTGGTGGTTGCAACAAACAGACACCATTGAAGGTAATCAGAAGTGAGGAACAGAAAATGAAATAATTATTTTAATGTTTAGAGCAGCAGGAACTCCGAGAGGCTGCAGGCGCATCAGTGAGTTTGCGGCCGCTGCGCAGGGGGAGGGGGGAGAGGGCTGAAGCAGGAACTACCGTTGTTAAAATAAATGTGTTTAACTTTGAAAATGTGGGCGCAATTTTAATCGTCAAAAACTCCAGCGAACCATTAGTTCATTTTGCTCAAATAGAAATTGAGGCCTGCCTCTAATTCTGGTCCTCCTTCCAATAAAGGCCTGGAGCTTGATGAGCTTGAGTCAAATACAGACCCGGGCCTGTATTAGAGGATTTACGGTATATGTGTGTTACAACTATCGTACATGAAAAGTACTCATTAGCACGCATCAGTAACATGTTTTCTGTGTGCTGTTTCATAATGAAAGTATGAGTGTATTTGGCACTTTGTGCTAAGGCCAGACTAGCCTGGATTTATTCACCTCGTTACCGAGACCGTGATTTGAACCAATGCACCAGGAATATGGGGTGGCTGCCGGGACCAATTCACAGTACAGTGAACTAATTTTTACATTTTTTTTATGTACAATATTTTCAAACCTTTGAAGTGTAAAATGTGTCATGCTAACCTCAAGCAATATACTTTAATTCTGAATATCTTCACTACTCTGCTGTTTATCGTGCTAACAGATGCAGCCTAGCAAACAACGCTTCCATAGATGGCACTTTTTGGTTCAGAACGGCTCAGTGTTTACATGCTTTCCATGGAAACAACTGGTGTGGAAAACCAACGTGATTTTATTAAATAAACAGTGATATTAAAATTTTGCCAAACCACAAATGTCGTTTACAGTGCCTGGCTCTGACAGACTGTGATCTGGATTATCCCTTTGACTTCCTCACTACGAAAAAAGTAATGAAAACATTTTCCTTTTGCATTTTCTGATTCGGGGCAATAGGGCTTTAGTGTGGTGTAAATTACTGTAATAAAAAAAAATGTAACAGTATCAATTCTAATAATGTTATGCCTTTTTGTAAAAAATCTCCAGTGGTTGGACTCATCTCAAAGGGTGACAAGGCAGATTATAGAGGAGGCCCTGAAGTCATTAGCCATCACCAACAAAACTAAAGAGATCATCATGGACTTGAGCAAGCACAGTACCAAGTTAGAAGCACTTTTCATCAACAGGGAATGTGTGGAGAGGCTCAGTATGTTCTGGTTTCTTGGCGTGCTCATCTCTGCTGACATCTCCTGGGCAGACAACATCACAGCTGAGGTCAAGAAGGCTCAGCAGTGGCTACACATCCTGGGGGTCCTCATGAAGCCAAACCTGGATTCCAGCCTGCTACTGACCTTCTACTACTTGTCCATTGAGAGCCTGCTGACCTACTGCATCACAGTATGGTACGGCAGCTACACCATGGCAGACAGGGTTGAGAGGGTTGTAAAGGCAGCGGAGAAGATTGTCGACTGCCCCCACCCTCCCTATTTGGATATTTACACCTTCATTCGCACCTCCCTCTGCCTCAACAGAGCTAAAACCATAGTCAAGGACAACTCTCACCCAGGCTGGGACCTGTTGCCCTCCAGGAGGAGCTACAGGTACATTACAACCAGAACCCAACATCATGTCTCCCTTCTGCCCATAAATCTGTGCAATATCCACTATATACATGATAATGACCAGAACTGCAATATCCAATATGTATATAGTGCAAGTTTGCACCATGTGTTTATTTATTGTTTATTATGTATTTGACTACACTGAAGGAACTGCTTTCAGTCTCATTGTACTTGTGTATAGTGGCAATAAAATATATTCTATTCTTTTCTATTTTATTCTATTCTACATAGTTTAATATTTAACATTTTGAAAATACATTCAGAACTGCTTAAATGTAACAATCTGACCCTGTTATATGATGTAAAGTAGGTAAAATACAACTATCTGACCTGAGTCCCTCCAGTGTTTGTTAGCACTTTGAGAAGTGGCTTGTAGCTCCTGGCAGAAGGGGAGGGGGAACAGGGACAGCAGCTATAAAATTAAAACTAGAAACATTCAGATATAGTGCAAAAGTCCTTTTATGCCAGTAATTTAACTTTGAAGGTGAAACTGATGTATCAGATAGACTCATTCAATGCAGAGCCAGGTATTTCAGCCTTTATTTGTTAGAACTGTGAAGATTTTGGCTTACAGATGATGAAAACCCCAAATTAAAAATCTCATACAATTAGAATTTGGAGTGAAATTAATTAAAACAAAGATCTCTGATCAATGCCAGTCCATGAAGAATAACTTCAAGGTGAATCTGGTTCATCATCCAGCATCTACTGACCTCGACTCAGGGCATCGTGGACTGCTGGTACAGAATATTTCTTCAAGGGAGGAACTTGAGTCTGTGGACTGTGCTTTTGGATGTGCTCTCCAATCATTGGTGCTGAGGTCACTGAGGTAGTCATTGAGTTCCTTGGTGGCAGGGCCCATGAGGTGGCTGAGATCCACCCAGATTTCCTAAAGACTCTTGGTGTTTCTCTTATTTTCAATAACTTTTACTCCTTGGCTTTTAATTCGCGTTGAACTGGACTTCCACACCATTTTTACTGTGTTGCTTTAATCGTTTTTGATTTATTTCAGAATTTTAGGGTGTTTTTGCCCTATTTTGATTAGGATTTGTTAGGAGCAGCTCATCTCATTTCTCTACACTGAAACACATCTGTATTTTGCCCTTCAGGCCTGATGGTATTGGGACGGTAACAACTGAGGAAAAAGAGCGCTTTGAGGAGATCAAGGAGAGGCTTCGAGTGCTTTTGAAAAACCAGATTACACACTTCAGGTAGGTACTTGGAGGTTCAACTAATCTTTAAGTCCATTTAGGTCAGATTTAAATGAAAATCAACTCTTTTGTTGATCAGATACTGCTTTCCCTTTGGACGACCAGAGGGGGCGCTAAAGGCAACTCTGTCCTTGCTTGAAAGGGTGAGTACCGTGCTGCCATCTCTGAGCCCCTTCACACGCTCGCGCATCATACATTCAATTTCTCACGCTGAAAAAGCAACCCCCCCCACCACCACCACGGAAACACCCCCCCCCCCCCCCCACGTTCCTCCAAAACTTCAGTGGAAGAAACGGTAATGTAATCCAAATATACTTGGCACAGATGTGCCATTAGAGAGCACGCTGACGTGTCTATGTACAAACCTCTGTGAAATTGTTGTTTTTCACTTCATCAAACTAAAACATTGTACAGCTACTGTGAAGATGTAGGGCTATGAATTTATGAACTTACTACTGCATTTTTCCAAGAAGGTATGCATCCTGAAAAAGAATTTTTCAGGCGGCAAAGAAAAAAAATCAGCCTTTTTAAGTGTTCCATGTCCATCAGTGGTGGCTGGTGAATTTATTTTTTGGTGGAGCGTAATTTAACAGATGTGTGGGAAAGAGCATGCCAGCCAGGATTTGCATGACCTGTTATGGGAAGGTACATATGAATAACGAGGTTTAACACATTTGTACTATTAACATATTTCTCATCCATTAGCTTCAATACAAAAGGATGGTTTATGGGCCGATACTAAAATAAATGATGGTTTATTTGAAAAAAAAAACTGATCTTTTGACGAACTGACGGGGATATATTCCTACCTGCTGCACCAGATACTGTGATGCTGACCACCTTCCAGCTGATGGCTGGTTTTATATTCTGATTCAGTTACTTTATCTACACTGTTTTGTCTCACACTAAGGTTCTGATGAAAGACATTGTCACCCCAGTCCCTCAAGAAGATGTCAAAACGGTCATCAGGAAGTGTCTGGTGCAGGCAGCTATGGTAAACTACCAGCGGCTGTCAGAATATGCTAAACTGCAAGGTATGTGCCTCCTTCATCAGTGATCCTCAAGAAACTGTAAAACATCTGAACATTCACTGTCTGCTAACAAACCAAGTGTTTAGTAAAACTCTGAAAACAGTGTGGTTCTGATAGTTATTCAGTTGATTATTTGCAAAAAGTGAAAAAGGACATGTGCATTTTTTTATTCTAATGTGAATAACTGGAGGTTTACTGGTCTACTGAAACAAAACATTGAACAGAAATAACATACGAAAGATCAGACCATACCTAACACAGCATGCCACCCAGCTCCTGGTGCTATCTACTGTCATCTCCCGCCTCGATTACTGCAACGCCCTTCTAACTGGTCTTCCAGGCTGTACTGTGAGACCTCTTCAAATGGTCCAGAACGCAGCGGCGCGTCTGGTCTTCAATCAGCCAAAAAGAGCACACGTCACCCCTCTGTTCATTGAGCTCCACTGGCTACCGCTAGCAGCACGCATCAAATTCTAATTGCTAACACTAGCATACAAAGTCCGAGATGGTACGGCTCCCATCTACCTGAATCCTCTTGCAAAGGCTTACGTCTCGGCCCGGCCGCTCCGGTCATCACAGGATGGTCGGCTAGCAGTGCCTACACCACGCTCAGGACAATCCAGACTCTTCTCATGCATTGTTCCACAAATGTGGAATGACCTACCAAGCACTACCAGAACTGCGGCTTCCTTTTCAATTTTCAAGAGACTCCTGAAGACCCTGCTCTTCAGAGAGCATCTTCTAAACTAGCACCCTCCCTGCACCCGTCCCCCCCTCTCTACTGTCCACTCCTTGTTCCCTCCTCTCCATGACTGATGTCAATGTTGTTGTTATTGTTGTTGTTAGCCTCAAAGGCAACATGCCAATTTTCACTTGTAAGTCGCTTTGGACAAAAGCGTCTGCTAAATACATAAACATAAACATAAACATAAATATTTCATACTGAAATTAGAAAGAAGTAACTCAGTTTTGTCCTAAAGTTGTTTTCATCCATTATTGGTTTAGGGCTGGGCAACGTGGCTAAGAAGTGTAACTCACCATTATTATAAATAAACACTTCCTGCTGCTAACACACACACACACACACACACACACACACACACACACACACACACACACACACACACACACACACACATACACTCTCTCTCTCTCTCGCTCCCCACTGCTCTGACCGAGCCATTGGGCGATGTTAACACTGGAATGACACCAGGTTGAAGAAGTAATCCATCTGAGAACCCACTCCGGTTCTGGTGTTGGTTCAACAGGCAGTTTGTGAATTCACGGTCACATTCTGGCTCGGTTTCTGCAGATTTACCTCTTCTTAACAAAGGCCAGACAGAAATCACGTTTCTCTTGCAAACAAAAATCCATTTTTGGGTTCTGGTCATTATTTAAAGTACGGACTAGATAAACTCCCTGCTAGCTAAACAGAGAGACTGAGCGTATTTACAGTCCACAGGAAGAAGGCTACAGATTTGAGCCTACCTGGATGCACTGGAGAGAAGCATAATGAAACAACCATGCATGTTTTTGAAATAGCAGAGTAAAGCTAAAGGGGGAAAGAAGCTGAGACAGGAAAAGACATGCATGAAGACAAAAACTGTTGTTTTTCATGAGGAAATAACAATATACCATGACAACAAAAGTGAAAAATACGAATTTTGCATCATAAAGACCCTTTAACATAGCCATCCTATAGATGTATATAAACTCTGTTCATAACCCATAGACAGAGCTCAGTCATGGGGCAAAATCTATGAGTGGTTTTCACGCTATTGGACAACAAATAACATGACGTAGTGACTGCTTCAGACAAGGGCAGTACGCCATACATAGTTGAAGAAGACACAAATGCATCCTTTTTCTAAATAAAAGACTTGAGTAGCTCTATCTGCTCTGGACTCAAAGAAAAGCCTGAATCTAAATAGTCCGAAGTTGGTGCTAAAGCCGTTCCAAACGAGCCGGAGCCATTTGAGCTTTCTGCTCCGTCGCACCATCCCACCCTCCAGACTGGCCAGGGCTGGGGAGGATCCGATGGAGCGTGGCTGGACTCAGTCATAACTGACTGGTTGATTTGAACTGCTCTCTGTAATTTAGCACAAAACCCAGTTTTGACCACCACCTTTTACTCAATATTCTTTAGCTGTGAACAATGTCCCAAAATAGTGTTTAACATAAATGCATACATTTACACATAAAATAACTGCAATGAAGACACAGATAGATAGAAAATATACTAACCAAAGACTGAACAACATGAAGCGTGTCTGTTTGTGTGTGCGTGCTGGTTCAAAGTGAGATATGGGGTCAGAGATGCAATGTGTAGCTTGGCTTCAGCTAGCTTAGGATCAGTCCAGTTATGGGAAGTACCTCCCGATGGAACTCGTTACCTGCTCACCTTAGGAACACGACCACCCTTCACCAGTTTCAGGCTAATCTCAAAATTCACCAGCTTTAAACTGCCTATTCAGTGTAACAGTTATCAGTGCTGCATCTGATGATTTATTTGTGTATTGAATGTTCTAGTCACTGAATGTTTTTATTTTTAACCTGACTGTACAGTGACCTAGAGTGTATTTGAAAGGTGCTCCATATCAAATGTATTATTATTATTATTATTATTATTATTATTATTATTATTATATTATTATTATTATTATTATTATTATTATTATTATTATTATTATTATTATTATTATTATTATTTTTATATTATTATTATTATTATTATTATTATTATTATTATTATTATTATATTATTATTAATCCTTTAAGACCTGCCATAGAACAAGTTTACCAGAAGTTATATTTATATTTTTACATGCTGTGGTGCCATTTTTTGGGGGTATTTCAACCTGCTATACATCTAAACAACCTTTACATTCTAAGTTTTAATAATATAAATGTAAAGTGTTCATAGCAACTAAGTATTTTACTAAAAAATGCAGTTAACTATACAGAAATAGACCTGTAAATAAAAAAAAAGTTTCACACAATCCGTTCAGACAACAAATTAATTAATTAATTAAGTACTTCCATAAAATAATTTCTGAGATCCACTCATTTATATAAACTGTAACAAAAATGAAAGCATAAATAATAATAATGATCAGCAAGAGTCTAAAACAATAATGTTGAGTATTTGTAGCTAATTTTTCTGTAATACAGTTTCCGTTTTCTCTCACTAATACTAATAACAATAATAAAGAATATTGCATGAATATATAAGTGAGGAAACAGAAACTGAAACATCGTCCGGCGCTGTAATGGCGTCAACCGCTTCGAAGAGGGAGTACATCCTCCCTCCTCCCGTTCGGCGGGTTTGTGATTCATCTAAACGTTGGTAGTGGTGTGTGAGTGTGTCAGGAGTGTGTAATGGTGTGTGTGTGTCAGGAGTGTGTAATGGTGTGTGTGTGTCAGGAGTGTGTAATGGTGTGTGAGTGTCGGGAGTGTGTAATGGTGTGTGTGTGTGTGTGTGTCGGGAGTGTGTAATGGTGTGTGTGTGTCAGGAGTGTGTAATGGTGTGTGTGTGTCAGGAGTGTGTAATGGTGTGTGTGTGTCAGGAGTGTGTAATGGTGTGTGTGTGTCGGGAGTGTGTAATGGTGTGTGTGTGTCAGGATTGTGTAGTGGTGTGTGAGTGTGTCAGGAGTGTGTAATGGTGTGTGTGTGTCAGGAGTGTGTAATGGTGTGTGTGTGTCAGGAGTGTGTAATGGTGTGTGTGTGTCAGGAGTGTGTAATGGTGTGTGAGTGTCGGGAGTGTGTAATGGTGTGTGTGTGTGTCGGGAGTGTGTAATGGTGTGTGAGTGTCGGGAGTGTGTAATGGTGTGTGTGTGTGTGTGTCGGGAGTGTGTAATGGTGTGTGAGTGTCGGAAATGTGAGTGTGTCCCTGCGCCTAGTGCCTGTCCCGATAGTGTGTCGGGAGTGTGTAATGGTGTGTGTGTGTGTGTCGGGAGTGTGTAATGGTGTGTGTGTGTCAGGAGTGTGTAATGGTGTGTGTGTGTGTCAGGAGTGTGTAATGGTGTGTGTGTGCGTCAGGAGTGTGTAATGGTGTGTGTGTGTCAGGAGTGTGTAATGGTGTGTGTGTGTGTCAGGAGTGTGTAATGGTGTGTGTGTGTGTCAGGAGTGTGTAATGGTGTGTGTGTGCGTCAGGAGTGTGTAATGGTGTGTGTGTGTCAGGAGTGTGTAATGGTGTGTGTGTGTGTCAGGAGTGTGTAATGGTGTGTGTGTGCGTCAGGAGTGTGTAATGATGTGTGTGTGTCGGGAGTGTGTAATGGTGTGTGTGTGCGTCAGGAGTGTGTAATGATGTGTGTGTGTCGGGAGTGTGTAATGATGTGTGTGTGTCGGGAGTGTGTAATGGTGTGTGTGTGTGTGTCGGGAGTGTGTAATGGTGTGTGTGTGTGTGTCGGGAGTGTGTAATGGTGTGTGTGTGTGTGTCGGTAGTGTGTAATGATGTGTGTGTGTCGGGAGTGTGTAATGATGTGTGTGTGTGTGTCAGGAGTGTGTAATGGTGTGTGTGTGTCAGGAGTGTGTAATGGTGTGTGTGTGTGTGTCAGGAGTGTGTAATGGTGTGTGAGTGTCGGGAGTGTGTAATGGTGTGTGTGTGTGTGTCGGGAGTGTGTAATGGTGTGTGTGTGTGTGTCGGGAGTGTGTAATGGTGTGTGTGTGTGTGTCGGTAGTGTGTAATGATGTGTGTGTGTCGGGAGTGTGTAATGATGTGTGTGTGTGTGTCAGGAGTGTGTAATGGTGTGTGTGTGTCAGGAGTGTGTAATGGTGTGTGTGTGTGTGTCAGGAGTGTGTAATGGTGTGTGTGTGCGTCAGGAGTGTGTAATGATGTGTGTGTGTCGGGAGTGTGTAATGGTGTGTGTGTGTGTCGGGAGTGTGTAATGGTGTGTGTGTGTGTCGGGAGTGTGTAATGGTGTGTGTGTGTCAGGAGTGTGTAATGGTGTGTGTGTGTGTGTCAGGAGTGTGTAATGGTGTGTGTGTGCGTCAGGAGTGTGTAA